TGTTTTGGGGGATGTATGGGTATGTGTGGGGGTGAGTATGGAGTTTGTGGGGTGTGTGGAGGTGGCTTGGGGTATGTGGTGGGTGGATGTGGGGTGTACATGCTTGTGGGTGTGTGTATATGGTGAGGTGTGTGCATGTGTGTGGTGGGATGTGTGCACGTAGCAGTGAGTGGGGCTTCCCCCAGAGGCATGCTCCCCTCACAGGGGGTACATGTGGGGGAGTGGGTGGGTGCAATGTTTGTGGGGGGGGTGTGGAGGAGGATATGAAAGTTAAAAGCAAATTTGAGAACAGTGACCTTGAAATAAAGGCCTGTAGTAATTTGCATATAGTACCCATAGATTTAGTTAATCCAGAATTGATGCTTTTTTTTTTTTTTTTTTTTTAACTGCTGCAAGTTTTAGTACAGGTACTTCATAAGCACACTTCTAAGCAGTACTTTTGTATCTATTTATATATAATGCAAACTACATATGATATTAATCCAAAGCTAAAAGACTCATGATTTACTATATAGTTCATTGGCCTGAGCCTCAGTAGAGTCAACAGCATTTCAAGCCATGGGGACCCCATAGCTCGGCACTGCTTGGGTGTATGCCTGCCTATGTCTGTTCATAACCTAAATCTCTCTCGTTATATTTTAAGCCGGTTGCTTCTTGTTTTGTACCCTTTGGGCACAGAGAACAATTTATCACCATCAGTTAATAGCAACTCCTTTTGAACAGTTGTATTTGAAAACTGTTAGCAAACTCACTGTTCAATCTACTCTTATCTAAAGTAAATAAAACCAGTTTATCCAGCCCTTCCTCATATATCATATTTTCTGGACTATAATCATTTTTGTTGCTCTCCTGTGGACTCCTTCCAATTTGTCCACATTTTTCTTGAAGTGTGATGTCCAAAACTGGACATGTACTCCACAGAAAGCCTCACCAGTGAGGAATAAAGGGCGCAGACAGAAGTGGAGCTCCCAGCTGTAACTCAGTATGCCTCACAGGAAGATTCTTGAGTTAGAATGAACCCCCAGACCAAGCTGAAGTTCACTGTTGAACTTCTAGAGGAGAGGGGGAATTAGCTGCTAGCTTTGAGCCTGCAGCAAGTTTGCCCTAGCAGCAGCCCCTCCTCCCTGCCAGTCCCCACTGTTTTCAGAATGGGAAGGGTAAAGACAGCAGAGGGAGATCATTCTGGGGATTCCCCAGCCAGCCCTGGAGGGTGGGGTGGATGAATTGGAGCCTCCCCACCTTGGGTGGCGGGGCTCAAGTACACCTGTACATCCTCCAGTGGGGGCTGTAAAAACCCCAGACCAAACTCCCTCTGGTCCTTTTCCCCCTCCCATTCTGAAAACAGCTCAGAGGATGGCAGGCAGCCCAGACACAGATTACAGAAGACACTTTATTTTAAAAAGTCTTCATCTGGACCCTCATGCAATGAGGGTTTAGATTTTTGCCCAGTTTGCCATTTTGAAGCAGTCTGCAGCCATGCACTTATGTTTGGTCATGGCTATAAACCGCTTTCTGTAGCCAGATCAGGCATCATTTCTGTCTATGCCTAAAATGGATGAGTCACTTCCTGTGACTCACATGTGATACTCCTGTTAATATATCCCAGAATGATATAGATTCATAGATTCATAGATTCAGGGTCGGAAGGGACCTAGTAGATCTTCTAGCCCG